TGAGCTCAGTGAAATATAATATCGAGCACCTATACGTGTAATTGTCTTGAATTTTGCTTGGATTTTGGGTGCCAGTTAAAGGTATTTAATATTCTTAGCAACAAAAAAAAATAGCACGTGTTCCTAAATACGCCGCCCCTTATTTTTAGGCACCCAGTTCCACCATTAAATTAAAACCTTATAAGCCGCCATAAAATTACGACCTTATATTGGTTGCTCATCTGCAGTCGGCACTGTAATATTGACAACGGCTGTAGGAAGAAAAGGCACCAATACATCTGCGTCAGTGGCGTTACTGAAACCGGCGTCGACCACAGAGATGACCGCCTAAGAAGTACCCTCTGACCCGGAATCGCTTTCAAGTTGCTCCATGGGATTACCTGCAGTTCCCGCCCAGCAGTTATAAGTGCCTTTGTGTTTAAAGTTTTACCATGCCTTTAGTTGGCCAAGATCAGTTGGGTTTGGGCCCCATGTACTATATATAGGCAACCGCCAAATTAAATTAGAATAATATCTGCGTTTAAAAGGAAAAAGATCATTGCTTTTTTTTTGCTTCATTTTGCTCTGTTAAAATAATCAGGTAAAAGTGAAATCAAAAACAACTTATATCCCACAAAAATAGAACCAGAATTGCAGGCAAGGAAATGTGGAAAAATTAAAGTAACAACATGAAATAAAACCCTTTAAATTCCTTATCACCAAATTCTAAAAATACATCAAAACATTTACACCAACAGAGTACACACCCACCGGCAAAAGATCTTTTGGACGTGGAGAAGAAAGAAAGTGTAAGTGAACTTAATACTAATTATTTTATATTTTTTTCTATTACTTAGTTATTTGGTGAATTTAAAGAAGTGTTTCGTGATGTGAGTGTAAATAAATCGGACTTTGAAATGTGTATTTGCTTGCAGAAAGGAAACAGTGAGAAATCAAAATAAAATGTAATAAAATGAATTTTAATAGAAAACGTAAACAGCATTCCTAACTGCAAGCGCTCACATAGTTTTACAGTCTTCGATCAGTCCAAATACAAACCGCTCACATTACTACGACTACACTGGGAAAAATTATGTTAACTAAAATTTCAACATTTATAAAAATATAGAAATAAATAAATTTAACTATTTTGATAATTTCTTAAACAAGTACCACCAAAAAAAAAAATAAATAAATAAAAAAAAAAAAAAATTAAAAATAACAAAATTACAAAAACATTAAATGATTCAGTTTACATGAACATACTAAATTGCAATTAAAATTTATTTTGCATACATTAAATTTAAATTATTATTTGGAGATATATTTTGAATTGATTTCATTTAAATTTATTTTTGTTGTTTATTAACTATTTAATTCGTACTGTGAATTTATAACACAAGCAAGACAAACACTGAAATTAAAATGGAGTTTATATAATAACATAATTAAACACAAAAGCTATTATATATCAATCTACATCTACTATCTATTATATCATATTATATTTTTAAATATTATTAAATAACATTTTCCTACGCAGCTTTTATAAAGATCCCTTTCATATGTTTTGGGCACTAGGAGTTTATAAATTAAATTAAAATGGTTAAATATTTTGCTCATAAATTAGAAATGAACTTCTAAGCCTTTCGTATTTGGGAGTCATGCGTTCTGCTGTGAGAAGGGTATGAGTTAGCTTTGCCGGTTTTAAATGGGATCACCAATTAGCTTAAACTTTGGAGTTCGGTGATCATGGTTGGGTGGGCATCTGCTGTGGCTATAACACCAGCCCAGCATAAATAAACTGGAAAGCCCTGGAATATCATCTCCCATGGGATATTAAGAAGAGGTACCTTTCCCCGATTTTTCTTGTTAACCTGTGTATTTTTACCCCGATCGTTGTCAAATTTAGCACGTGATTTTTTTTAAGATTTAAAAGTATTTGCGAGCAAGTAGCACAAGGACTCTATAGAACCCCACCTTCTACCGATCATACAGCCGGAACCAGCACGTGCAACTTTCCTTGAATACACACACCATCAGCTCGTGTTGCAATAACCGTCAACTCTGTTGCAGGTTACATGCTACAATAATCTTAATGGCGCCCAACGTGGGGCCAGACTGGCCTGGCCCGAAAAAAAAATAATAATTGTAGTAATAATTGATCATAACACCAGACCTCTACTTTAGACCGATCGAAATTCCCTTGGTATTTCGCCAATTTTCCCTTTTGTCCTAGCTATTGGAAATATGTTATGGATCCAGGTTATCTTTGCAGATTTCCTGGCCTTGCCAAAAAAATTCTTATAGCTGCTGCGTTTTGACTTAGACCCACTGGAAAAGTTATAACTTTTAATGGATATAACGCCGTAGTCATTTAGTAGTTAAAACCAGCTTGTGCAATTTTACCACTGTGAGGTAATGTATGTGGAGTACTGGACTTGTGGAGAAGAGAGCTGCAGTCAGTCCCTAAAATTACGTACACTGCGGTGTAAATAAACCCATTTTTGTCCCAATTTGTCCCAAATACCCTAACATAATCTTTTTCTTAAACTAGCAAACTATAACCGTGGAAGATCATAAATTCAAATATTTTTGAGCCCGGCTTACATGTTGCCGTTTTTGAGATTGTTGTTCCCTTTCTTAGTTATCTTTTCTTAATATGAGTAAGTAAAAAAAAAAAAAATAAAAAAATACTCGGTTTTCTAGCTGATAGCATGACTCCCATAACGTCCCAACTTATTTTGTTATTTTTAGTTCTTCAACGAAATAAAACAGATATCATTTATTATTATTTATTTACACGTTAGGTACTTTACTCCATTAAGAAATGATAGGATCGCATAGCTCGGAAAACTTATCACAATTAAATGACACAGGGAAACATTGTTATGTTTGTGGAGAAATAATTGTTTATCACGCGCAACTACTAGGAACTACTTGCGGCCATAATTTTCACCGGGCGTGCTTTAACATTAGAGCCGGCTCTAAAAAGCAGTGTCCTATTTGTCTCGAAAATCTTAATCACAGCATATCAGCCTCATCTGAAAATTTAAGGTCCACCACTTCAAACCCACGAAAGCCCTCCGTTCCCCAATCTCTACAGACCAGGTCACAGAAGCAACGCGCGAGTACTTTAAACCAGCTCAATATGCCTAACTTGGATGATGCAAACTCATCCCAGGCCTCTGGTAATTCACAACCCGACACTGTAGTTGTCACTATGGCAGAATCTATTCAGCAGTCGATAGCTGAAACGCTGAGAGTAGCTATGGTAGAACAGACCCGTGTTCTTGCAGGAAGCATGGCCACTCAAACTCAACAGCTAGTGCAAGCTATTTCTAATGGTCTTCGAATTAATACTGATCCGACCACAAATGCGGGCAGGATTCCGTCTGTTGTTGAAACAGAGCAACCAACTTTGCAGCAATTTCCTTTGCCTAACAACGGTCAGACCCCTGAGCATGGACCTAATCAATATCTAAGGGTTAATACAGCAGCTTCAGATATTCGTCCGGATCGCGTTAGTCAGATAATGGCTAATTGGAAGCTGAGATTTAATGGGAAGTCAGGAATGTCTATAGAAGATTTTATTTATCGCGTCGAAGCCTTAACGAAGCAAACCTTAGGCGGGAATTTGGATATAACTGCCCAATACGCTAGTAACCTTTTTGAGGGTATTGCCAGTGAGTGGTTTTGGCGCTACCATAAAAGTGTACCTGACGTAAGATGGGAAGATTTGATTCAAGCACTGTGCGGACAGTTTAAGGACGACAGAACAGATAGGAATATCCGAACTGAAATGGAACTCAGAAAACAGCGGCCAAATGAATCATTTGATGACTTTTATAGGGCCATTGCCGCTCTAGCCGATAGACTTTCAGAGCCGATGAGCGAGTCAGCCTTAGTTGAAACACTGCGAGCAAATCTTTTAACTGATATTCAGCATGAAATTCTATATGAACCAGCTTTAAGTGTTAAATCTTTACGACATTTAGTTAGAACTAGAGAAATCTTTGTGCAAACTGTTTTAAAGTCCAAACCTACTACAGTTGTACCACGAGCTATGCCTCGAAGACAGGTTAATGCCATTTTACAACCAGGATCCGAAGTTCCCTCTGACGAGGAATCCGAGGCTGTTGAGGACATTGACCTTTCAGCCCTAGAAATGTCCTGTTGGAATTGCGCTGAAAAGGGGCATCGTTACCAAGAGTGTGTGGCAGAGCGTAGGATATTTTGCTATGGCTGCGGCCAGGCAGACACATATAAGCCCAATTGTAGAAAATGTGGTTCAAATGCTTCAAAAAACTGCCAAGCTCGGGCACCGCAGAAAGGTGCACGCAAACATATGGTCTGCAAAGCGACCAATACCGATTAGTCGGGCCCGCAGAGCGCATATATCAACCAACTGAACTTTCTTACCCAGAATTATCTTTTAATTACCAATTTGCGTCACCAGAAGTACATAAAAACCGTTCAAAATGTCGTCGAATCGCTTTTAAAAAAAAATACAAGTCAGAAAGAAAGTTACTCCTAGCCTCACGATGTGCGACCTCACGCCCAGGTAGTCCTGTTTGATAAAACAGTCGTTGGGTTAATGGACACCGGGGCTTCAGTCAGTTGCATAGGAGGTAGTTTTGCATCTGAAGTTCTTCTTGATGGTCTAAAATACAAACCAATGACCTTAAAAGTAAGAACAGCTGACGGTAAAAGCCAAGATATCATTGGTAAGGTATCTACTGGCGTAACATATAGAGGCGAAACCAAAACAATTACCTTTTATTTGGTTCCCTCCCTGGCCGGAGACCTTTACCTCGGTATAGACTTTTGGACAGTTTTTGATTTGCTTCCTTTACATCTGATAACTCAAAGCCTGAACATATCATCTCTGGAAGACCAAACAATGAGATCACTGACTCCTAATCAACAAAAACTTTTGCAGGAGACGGTCAATTTATTTCCCTCATTTTCTAAACAAGGACTAGGTAGAACTTCGTTAATCTCTCATGTAATCGACGTAGCCGATGCTAAGGCTATCAAACAGCGTCACTATGCCGTGTCGCCGGCGACCGAGAAGCTAATGTATGATGAGCTGGATCGAATGATTGCACTTGGAGTGATTCAAGAATCCAATAGCTCATGGTCGTGACCTGTCGTCTTAGTGAAAAAACCGGGAAAGGTTAGATTATGCATTGACAGTAGGAAATTAAACGAGGTTACTTTAAAAGATGCATATCCAATGCCATTAATCGATGGCATTCTAAGTAGATTACCAAAAGCAGAATACATTACAAGTCTTGATCTGAAAGATGCTTTTTGGCAAATCCCACTAGATAAAAATTCTCGCGATAAAACTGCCTTTACGGTTCCTGGTCGTCCTCTTTATGAGTTTGTGGTTATGCCATTTGGCTTAACCAATGCCCCCTGTACCATGTCGCGTTTGATGGACAAGATAGTGCCAGCACAGTTGCGTAATGAAGTATTTATATATCTGGATGACTTGTTAATCATATCCGACTTGTTTGAACGCCATCTCGAAGTCTTATCCATAGTCGCTTCCCACCTCACTCGTGCAAATCTAACCATCAATGTCGAGAAAAGTAAGTTTTGCCGACGGGAGGTTAAATATCTAGGGCATGTGATTGGAAATGGTATAATTTGTACTGATCCCGACAAAATAGCGGCAGTAAAAGATTTTCCGATACCCCGATCAATAAAACAGGTTCGTAGGTTTCTTGGTATGACCGGGTGGTACCACAAGTTCATTAAGAATTATGCTGCCATTTCTTCTCCCTTGTCAGATACCCTTAAAGCCAAGCGAAAGTTTGAATGGACAGAAGCAGCTCAGAAGGCATTCGAATATTTAAAAGCTCAGATGTGTTCTGCTCCCGTGTTACATAGCCCAAATTTTGATTTGCCATTCTCTATTCACTGCGATGCCAGCCATACAGGTGTTGGAGCGGTGTTGATGCAGACTAATAACAAGGGAGACGAATTACCAATCGCTTTTATGTCAAAAAAGCTGAACAAGTGTCAGAGGCAGTATACCGTCACGGAAAAAGAATGCTACGCGGCTGTTTTAGCAGTGAAGAAATTTAGGGCATATATTGAAGGTCAGGACTTCACAATCATTACAGAACATGCATCACTAAAGTGGCTGATGACTCAAGTTGATCTCGCTCGCTGGTCCCTAAAGTTACAAAGTTTTCAGTTCAACATTCAGCACCGAAAGGGCATCCAAAATATAGTACCGGATGCTTTGTCGCGTACATATACCGAAGACCTGTCGTCCCTTTTTCTAAACAGTCTGATAGTCGATTTAGCATCTCAGGAATTTAAGTCTGCAGGTTACGAGGAGCTTAAAAACAAAATACGACAGAATCATTATACTTTGCCAGATCTAAAGATTGAAGACGAGTACATTTTTCGGAAAGCAGAACACGCCGCTGGAACTAAAGTTACCGACGACTACTGCTGGAAGCTTTGGGTGCCACGATCTCTAGTGTTACCTGCCCTGAAAGTGGCCCATAATGATCCATTGTATTCTCACGGTGGAATAAATAAGACCCTGGAATTACTCAGACGGCATTACTACTGGCCTAACATGGTTACTGATGTTAAAGACTATATCAATTCATGTGACACCTGCCGTGCCACTAAGCATCCCAATCAGACCATGAAACCACCTATGGGGCACACAGGTCATCCTCAGCGTTTCTTTCAAAAATTGTTTGTTGATTTTTTGGGACCCTATCCACGTAGTAAGTCTGGGAATATAGGCATATTTGTAGTACTAGATCAACTGTCTAAATTTCCCTTTTTAAAGGCTGTGCGTAAATTTACTGCTGAGTCTATTAGAAGCTATTTGGAAGAAGACTTATTTCACTGTTTTGGAACTCCAGAAACCATCGTTTCTGACAACGGAGTTCAATTTAAGTCGCAAACATTTAATTCCTTGTTAGATAAATACATCATTTCTCATAGCTATACAGCGTTCTACTCTCCCCAGGCGAATGCATCGGAAAGAGTCAATAGATCAGTGCTCTCAGCCATTAAAGCCTACGTTGATCCCAGCCAGCGAAATTGGGACGAAAAATTGAGTAGCATTAGCTGTGCACTTCCTAGTTTTCACCTATCTATAAATACAAGCCCTTATAGACTTGCATTTGGCCAACATATGGTCAAAAATGGAAGCAGCTATAAGCTTTTGCGAACTTTGAATATGTTGGACGATCGCAGCATACAGTTTAACAGAGAAGATTCGTTTGATAGCTAAAGAAGCTATGCAATCTCAGCACGCCCGGAACGAAAAGGCCTACAAGTTGCGTACGAGGGAAGTGTCGTTTCGTGTTGGCCAAGAGGTCTATAGGCGCAACTTTCAACAAAGCAACTTTGCAAAAGGATTTAGCGCAAAATTAGCTCCAAGTTTTGTCAAAGCAAGAGTTCGGAAAAAGTTTGGGAACTATTATTATGAGTTGGAAGACCTTCAAGGACGCATTGTAGGAAAATTTCACGCAAAGGACATCAAACAATGATCCTAATACCAAGCGCGAATCTCGTTCGTGTTGCATGCACCCCAACCGTGATTTAAGTGGGGGGGAATTGTAATGCGCTTGGCCTATCCTAAAAGTATACCCTGTTTCAGGATAAGCTTTTTTGTAACGCTCAAAATAAAGTAAGCCCAGATCATTATCATCTGATTTATACCATACTTCCAATAGTTATTTCCATTACCCACGCCTACGAGCTTTTAAAAAAAAAAAATTTTCCACTTAGCTCTGATCAGATTCCTCTTTGGTCGTTCTTTTACCTCGTGGCTGCCTAACTAGAAAGACCAACAGCGCGAAGTAAAAATTCATTCAAATTTATTTCATTGTCAATAAGTACAGTGTTTCAGTAAATAATATTGAGCTCAGTGAAATATAATATCGAGCACCTATACGTGTAATTGTCTTGAATTTTGCTTGGATTTTGGGTGCCAGTTAAAGGTATTTAATATTCTTAGCAACAAAAAAAAATAGCACGTGTTCCTAAATACGCCGCCCCTTATTTTTAGGCACCCAGTTCCACCATTAAATTAAAACCTTATAAGCCGCCATAAAATTACGACCTTATATTGGTTGCTCATCTGCAGTCGGCACTGTAATATTGACAACGGCTGTAGGAAGAAAAGGCACCAATACATCTGCGTCAGTGGCGTTACTGAAACCGGCGTCGACCACAGAGATGACCGCCTAAGAAGTACCCTCTGACCCGGAATCGCTTTCAAGTTGCTCCATGGGATTACCTGCAGTTCCCGCCCAGCAGTTATAAGCGCCTTTGTGTTTAAAGTTTTACCATGCCTTTAGTTGGCCAAGATCAGTTGGGTTTGGGCCCCATGTACTATATATAGGCAACCGCCAAATTAAATTAGAATAATATCTGCGTTTAAAAGGAAAAAGATAATTGCTTTTTTTTTGCTTCATTTTGCTCTGTTAAAATAATCGTGTAAAAGTGAAATCAAAAACAACTTATATCCCACAAAAATAGAACCAGAATGGCAGGCAAGGAAATGTGGAAAAAGTAAAGTAACAACATGAAATAAAACCCTTTAAATTCCTTATCACCAAATTCTAAAAATACATCAAAACATTTACACCAACAGAGTACACACCCACCGGCAAAAGATCTTTTGGACGTGGAGAAGAAAAAAATGTAAGTGAACTTAATACTAATTATTTTATATTTTTTCAATTATTTAGTTATTTGGTGAATTTAAGTGAAAATAAAGAAAGTGTTTCGTGATGTGAGTGTAAATAAATCGGACTTTGAAATGTGTATTTGCTTGCAGAAAGGAAACAGTGAGAAATCAAAATAAAATGTAATAAAATGAATTTTAATAGAAAACGTAAACAGCATTCCTAACTGCAAGCGCTCACATAGTTTTACAGTCTTCGATCAGTCCAAATACAAACCGCTCACATTACTACGACTACACTGGGAAAAATTATGTTAACTAAAATTTCAACATTTATAAAAATATAGAAATAAATAAATTTAACTATTTTGATAATTTCTTAAACAAGTACCACCAAAAAAAAAATAAATAAATAAAAAAAAAAAAAAATTAAAAATAACAAAATTACAAAAACATTAAATGATTCAGTTTACATGAACATACTAAATTACAATTAAAATTTATTTTGCATACATTAAATTTAAATTATTATTTGGAGATATATTTTGAATTGATTTCATTTAAATTTATTTTTGTTGTTTATTAACTATTTAATTCGTACTGTGAATTTATAACACAAGCAAGACAAACACTGAAATTAAAATGGAGTTTATATAATCCCATAATTAAACACAAAAGCTATTATATATCAATCTACATCTACTATCTATTATATCATATTATATTTTTAAATATTATTAAATAACATTTTCCTACGCAGCTTTTATAAAGATCCCTATCATATGTTTTGGGCACTAGGAGTTTATAAATTAAATTAAAATGGTTAAATATTTTGCTTATAAATTAGAAATGAACTTCTAAGCCTTTCGTATTTGGGAGTCATGCGTTCTGCTGTGAGAAGGGTATGAGTTAGCTTTGCCGGTTTTAAATGGGATCACCAATTAGCTTAAACTTTGGAGTTCGGTGATCATGGTTGGGTGGGCATCTGCTGTGGCTATAACACCAGCCCAGCATAAATAAACTGGAAAGCCCTGGAATATCATCTCCCATGGGATATTAAGAAGAGGTACCTTTCCCCGATTTTTCTTGTTAACCCGTGTATTTTTACCCCGATCGTTGTCAAATTTAGCACGTGATTTTTTTTAAGATTTAAAAGTATTTGCGAGCAAGTAGCACAAGGACTCTATAGAACCCCACCTTCTACCGATCATACAGCCGGAACCAGCACGTGCAACTTTCCTTGAATACACACACCATCAGCTCGTGTTGCAATAACCGTCAACTCTGTTGCAGGTTACATGCTACATCATTGCAGTTCAATGGGAATCGCAAAAAAAAAGTCATTCCATTTGGCAGGACTAAACCTGCTTATTCAGGCCTTTCGCCTGTCAAGTGCTTTATTATTTCCGATTTAAAGTCAGCCATTGAATAAATGCCGGACAATTCGGAAAAAAGTGGCCTTACTGCTCTTT